CTGGGGATTGCCCGATCACTTTCTACTCCCGTCAGCTACTGTCTGCCGAGATAAACTACACTGCCGATGAACGTAAGGTTCTCGCAGTAGTTTATGCTACCCGGCATTGGCGTCATTATCTGCACGGGGCGCCCTTCACGGTGAGCACGGACAACTCAGTTGTTCAGGCTTTCCTCACGAAGTCCAAGCTCTCCCCTCGACAGGCACGCTGGTGGTGTGACTTATCCGAGTTCAGTTTCACCACTCAGCCCATCAAGGGTGAAACGAACCGCGTCGCCGATGCCTTGTCCCGCCGTCCTGATCACAATCAGGAACCCATCCATCTTGCTGCCATCTCCATCACCACCGTTGATCAGTCGGTGATCGACGCATATCGCACTCAGTACCGCCACTGCCCCGATTATCGCGTCATCCACGCGACAATGCGGAGTGGCAAGACCATTCCTTCCTACTCCCTCGGGGAGAACGACCCTGTGTACTGGCATGGCAGATCTGGTCAGCTAGAACCACGTATCTGCGTTCCCGCCATCGGACAGCTCCTCATCCAGGCGGTAGCAGAGTTCCATGACCAGGCAGTTGCCGGTCATATGGGTTTCCACAAGACGTTGGCTCGTGTTTGCCGCCTATACGTCTGGCCGTAGTCCAAGGACTTTGTCAAAGCCTACATCCAGGAGTATCCTACCTGCCAAGAGGTGAACAGTGCGAACCACCTTCCGTATGGGTTACTTCAGCCCCTACCCATACCTGAGGGTCGTTGGCAGTCCATCTCGATGGATTTCATTGGTCCCCTCCGCCCACCTACTGAGCGCGGTCATGATGTTATCTTGGTCGTCGTCGATCACTTCACGAAGCGTGCACGTTTTGTCCCGTGCCGCTATCGCATTAGCGCTCGTGAGGTCGCCAACATCGTCTTCGACCGAGTCGTGAGAGATCACAGCTTACCTCAGAGCATCATCTCCGACCGTGACCCGCGCTTTACCAGCACATTCTGGCGACGCCTACACGAGGTGTACGGATCCCAGCTCGGCTTCTCATCGTCTTATCACCCTCAGACGGATGGTCAGACTGAGGTCACCAATAAAACTCTCGGTAATATCCTCCGAAAGTTTGTTAGGGATGACCAGCAATGGGACTTACACTTAGCCCACGCGGAGATTGCGTAAAACCACGCTGTTTCGCCAGCCACGGGGATGTCGCCATTCTATTGCGACCTCGACTACCACCCTCGGGTACCCGCGGATTTCCTACGACCATCGCGGGTGCGCCCAGACACTCGTTGCCCTGTGCTTGACGACCGGATCGCCCACATGGCGGCGATTATGAAGTGCGCACACGAGAGTTTAGTCGACTCCCAGACTCGCATGGCGGCACGAGCGAACCGATCACGAATGGATCATCCATTCAAAGTCGGTGACGATGTGCTCGTCGACGCACGCCACTTACAACTCGAAGCAGATACGGTTCGCAAGTTCAGGTGTCGTTTCTTCGGTCCATGCCGCATCCTTCAGGCCGTCGGTTCTGATACTGCCGCTAGTCCGGTCAGCTTCCGTGTGAAGCTACCTGATTACCTTCGACAGGCTCACGTACACGATGTTTACCACGTCTCCTTGCTGCGTCCTTATCGCAGACCGTCCGAGCGCTTCGCCGGACGCCCTTATGAGCGCCCTCCACCTATCATGGTGGACAGTCACAAGGAGTTCATTGTTTCCGACATCGTATCACGCCGAGTTACCGATGATACCCCTCCACGCATCGAGTACCTTGTGCGTTGGAAGGGCTACCCTGATGAGGAGGCTACTTGGGAGTCCCTCGAGCACTTGCAGCACGTCAGGATGTTGGTGCGTGCATATGATCGTGCTCGTCGTGCTGAGACATCTGCTTCTACTCAGCCGACTGACCCTCTTCCTCCTCCTCCGGCTGAGGAGATTGTTGAGGACGAGCCCGCTCCCTCTGAGGCCGTTCCTCAGCCGCAGACGGTCACCTCCGAGCGTCCACAGTGCACTCATTGTCGCCCTTCTCGTTACGATGACTGACACTCTTATCCTCTATCTTTCCCCACTGACTCACACCATCAGGTACTCCATCATCAGCTCTTCTTCAGGATGTCAGCGTTTTGCGGCTCTGCTTCGACATCGACTCCACTGCTACTTCATCGACGACATCGACCACTTCGACGACTTCAGCTACTTTGGACGTGACTACTTCACGCCACCACCCTACCCTGTATACTCCCTTGCCTCTGTCGCATGATGGTTCTCACTTAGCTGGGTCTCTTTGAGTTTGACTCTCCCTTGGTATCGCATAGGCATTGGGACCGTAGCGTTATCTTGGCTTCCTTGCTCCCAGATCTAGCTCCCTCTCCCACTCGGTGAGTTGTGTGCATGTTTCCCTCACCCACTGCCCTCATCACCCTAGCGCCGGCTATTGCATGCCTCCGGTTCGGCATAGCTCCACCCTATTCCAGGCTCCCCTTTTCATGGTCGACCCTGCATGGTGTCACCCTTTTGTCGAGCATTACCCGCCTTGATGGTCTATCTGTTAGGGTCATTGGTTTTGTTTCGCTACCACTCTCCCACCTTGAGCCTGATGACCTATCCCACCTTCATGTGTGACTGCCCTTAGGAGTTTCGATTCCTAGGCTGCATTCACCCCCTCTGAGACCATCCCACTCTTAGTGGTTCAGCGACATGACATTATCTTGTGACATATTGCTCTTTTCCTTTCAGCACTGAGGCCACTGCCTCCATAACTTTAGGATTGTATCATACTATATTTCATTTTTTGCTGCTAGCTAGGATATGTATACCAGACATTTGCTTTTCTTTTGACATTATGTAGCTTAGGATGCATCGCATGGACTCCGCATGGAGCTTGCTCCGCATCCTAAATTTCTCAGCTTTCTTTATTGCAGAGTTCCGCTGCTTTTGCGGATAGTGTGTTTATGGCTCTTGCGATCCATTACAGTTATGAGGATCGTGCAGCGGGCCTTCATCTGCCCTGGCCTACAGCCAAAGCCTATTGGGCTATTTGCCCAGTTCGACATGTGGGACTAGGCCGTGTGCTGTTCTAGTCCTGCCCGGTACCACTGTCGGTACCAGTCCAGTCCAGTCCAGTCCAGTTAGTCAGTCCGCTGGGGGTATACCCCAGCAGTTGTCTGTTTTTCGACATTCTTCACTTTTGCAGATCTTGGAGTACGTGCGTGTTGAGTCTGCGTCGGAGTTGCGCTGTCCCTTCCAGCTCCATCTTTGTCTCCTCCTTCGTCCACCCTTCGTCTCCATCCTGTCGGACCGCCATCCCGGCGGGTCCGGCACAACCGATGTCTGGCGAAGAGCAGACCGGTAGGCACGACAGAAGGGTCATTGAGCCTGCAGCGCATTGCATGTAGTGCAAACAAACAACTGTATGATCCATCACCATACACTCACCTGCCTTCGCACGAGATTCGTTTGCCACTGACAAACAACGAGTACGACGATGTGAGGTCATCGACTGTGCCTCTGGGGAGTGGATCGAAACAGGATTGGGCAGGTAGCCAGTTCTTCGGTCGTTTGTCAGCGGAGGCGGTACCCTGGTCGTTCATGTCACCGTTCGAGGGGCTGGGTGAGAACAATGCAGATGCGACGGTTGATCTCACCTTCGGGCTGTCCAACGGGAGCGGAGTGGCGGCCAGCCATATTCAATCCCCACCCTGATGGGGATCGTGTGGAACAGACGTCAATGGGGGAAGGGAGGGGGAGAGACGGTCTGGGAGCAGGCTCGCGTGACCACGCAAGGGATCGTTCTATAATTCGTCCAAGGGCGGGGGAGGAGGCAGCAGAATTGATGCGATCATCACCTGCGGTGGGCAGCGGATCGGGGACTCCATGTACACGAGAGCAGGTGGATGACGCCAAGCGGCAAGTACCCCATGGAACACACGGGTTGGCAGGTGTGGGTGGAACACCGCCTTTGAGATGACATTGCGCTCGCCGCAAAACTGTGCCGAACGACGCCCGCAACATGTCATGCGTCGATGGCCATGGATGCAACCATTGTGCACACATACACAAGTGTTGCTTTTCTCGTGAAGGGACACCCCCACAAAGCTCGATTTGCCTGTGCCCCGTCTCCACACCGACTGCCGATCGTCCCATCGTACTTCCAGTTTTGAATTTCAAACGTGGAGGTCCCCTATTTTTCATTTTGTTTTTCGTGGCCTGGGCCTGCCCTTTCCCGCCGGATGCCGCTGGACCACAACGTCTCCACACGGACACAGGACACTGTCCTGCCCTTTCCCGCCTGATGCCGCTGGACCACAACGTCTCCACACAGACACAGGACGCTGGACCGCGGACCGCCCCCCCCTCCCCTCCCCCCCCTCAGCTGCATATAATCGTATGAAAACGGCCGTGGACAGGCGACAGGGAAATGTCCTCGGGGACGTGGAGGATATGTGGAATGAGGCCCCAAAATTTCCTTGTAGCTCAAGGAAGTAGTAAGGAGTGTCTAACGACCCCCTTTTATCATCACGAAACTGACCAGCCCCACGGTAATTCAGGAATTTCGTTCATCTAGTTCCACCTGCATTCGATTTTTTATTTTTTATTTTTTTTTGTGGCATTCGAAATTCGAAACTGAGGCGTTGTAAGAAAAGTTTTGCATTGAGAAAAAAAGAAAAAAAAGAAAATGAGGCCGTGGTATCCTCGTGGATTCGAGCTTGGGTCCGTATTTCAACAGTTCATGGGTGCATCAACTGAGCTACTACCGGTAGGCCTGTTGGTTATCCTCCATTTCGCTGGAGAGGATTCCGGCAGAACTTGGCGCCCGGTATAGGGCATATTCACAGTTGGACCTTTTTACATATTTTGGACGGAATTGCGGCCAGATACCTCCAGGTATGGCCGTGAATGCGATCAGATACATTTGAGATACTGCTAGTGTGAGTAATCCCATATACCGCGTCCCGAAAAAAGACAGTTTGCGGTGCATGTGCCGGGGATTTCTGGTGGACGTAACCCCATCGGAAATCTGATAGCGCTTAGCGCTTGACTGCCTCGCTGCGGCCGTCAGGGTGGTGGGAGGCGTTGCCGGGGTGTTTTGTCTCGTGGCACTCCAACCCGCCACAGGTTGTCCAATCAACAGTGGATTTCCTCAACGTCTTCCAGTCCTCCTCTTTCCCCAAGCACTACGGGTAAGCTCCTTCTTCCCCACCCGTTTTCCTCCGCCGTCTCTCCTCCTCTCCTCCTCCTCCTCCTCCTCCTCCTCCTCCTCTCCTCTCCTCCCTCTCT